TACAATACATACATACATACATACATACATACATACATACATACATACATACATACATACATACATACATACATACATACACCTTCAAGTACTGTAAGTGTCGTTGTCTGTCACCCTCTGATTCATGGGTCATTCTGTCGTTTATAAGAGAATGGAAAAAAAATTGTGACACGACTGACAGAAACTTACATTAATTCTGACAGTGAAAAGCTAATGGGTGTTTTTTTTCTGTGTGTGTTTGTCTGTAAGTGTCTGTCTTGTTTTTGTATTATTATTCTCGTTTGTCTACCTCTCTCTCTCTCTCTCTCTCTCTCTCTCTCTCTCTCTCTCTCTCTCTCTCTCTCTCTCTCTCTCTCTCTCAGGTAGCGTGAAGGTGTAGACTCAGACTGACTTGTTGACCAAAATATATGTACATGACCTTTGACCTCTATTAGATAATTAGGACCTTAAACAATGGACTGGTGTTGATTGATTGATTGGTGTTGAAAGGTAAAGCTTGATTCATACTCCTCATGTTACAGGTGGTGTACTGTTCAATGTTGTGTGTGTACTATAATGGTCTGTACTGTACACGCTATTGTACTATTATGGGCCAGACTTATGTACTACCATAGACTATACTGTACGCTTAATTGTACTAAAAATTCACTGTACACTTTATTGTAGGTCAGTCGTTCTATCATAGGTTGTCACTGTACACTTGATCTACTATCGTGGCTATTAATGTACACTTTATACTATCGTGGCTATTAATGTACACTTGATCTGTTATCGTGGCTAATAATGTACACTTTATCTACTATCGTGGCTATTAATGTACACTTGATCTACTATCGTGGCTATTAATGTACACTTTATCTGTTATCGTGGCTATTAATGTACACTTGATCTCCTATCGTGGCTATTAATGTACACTTGTTCTACTATCGTGGCTATTAATGTACACTTTATCTGTTATCGTGGCTATTAATGTACACTTGATCTCCTATCGTGGCTATTAATGTACACTTTATACTATCGTGGCTATTAATGTACACTTGATCTACTATCGTGGCTATTAATGTACACTTGATCTACTATCGTGGCTATTAATGTACACTTGATCTACTATCGTGGCTATTAATGTACACTTGATCTACTATTGTGGCTATTAATGTACACTTTATCTGTTATCGTGGCTATTAATGTACACTTGATCTCCTATCGTGGCTATTAATGTACACTTGATCTACTATCGTGGCTATTAATGTACACTTGATCTACTATCGTGGCTATTAATGTACACTTGATCTACTATTGTGGCTATTAATGTACACTTTATCTGTTATCGTGGCTATTAATGTACACTTTATCTGTTATCGTGGCTATTAATGTACACTTGATCTGTTATCGTGGCTATTAATGTACACTTGATCTACTATCGTGGCTATTAATGTACACTTTATCTGTTATCGTGGCTATTAATGTACACTTTATACTATCATGTACACTTTTAACACACATTATGGGTCAAGGGAACACTATAGACGAGTACGTTATAGGACACATTTGTTTACACCTAACCTAACCTAACCTAACCTAACCTAACCTCTCTCTCCTGACAGAGCCGACGACGGTGGGGATTCAGATGTTCATCAACTCCTTCGGCTCTCTTAACGCTGCTAATATGGTCAGTACCCTTTCTCTGTAGTAGTAGTAGTAGCAGTAGTAGTAGTAGTAGTAGCCATGAGCAAGGTGTGGTAATTAATATGGCTGTGGTGTTTACAGGACTACAGCATCGATGTGTTCCTGCGTCAATACTGGAATGACCATCGTCTGATGTTCAACAATACACGTGCCCACTTCACCATCACCGACCCCATTGTGAGTATTGCCTCTCTCTCTCTCTCTCTCTCTCTCTCTCTCTCTCCTGATTGTATGGTGTTTAAGAGAGGAGTGATAATAGATAGATAGATAGATAGATAATTTTACCGGAGATAGTGTTGATGGGAAGGTAAATTTCATCTGGTAGCCCCTGCCCTGCCCTGCCCTGCCCTGCCCTGCCCTGCCCTGCCCTGCCCTGCCCTGCCACACGCCAGCTCTGTTAATCCACACACGTTTATAAGCGTAGATAAGAATGTGTCCGGGAGCTGCTGCCAAGGTGTGTCACGGTGTGCAGAACAGGGATGCAAAACCACACACACACACACACACACACACATACTGTAGGGACATATAGATACACACAGTTAAGCACAGGTACACACAAACACACACAGTGGATGGATGGGTGGCGTGGGTGGGTGAGTGGTTGGGTGGGTGGGTGGGTGGGTGGGTGGTTGGGTGGGTGAGTGGGTGACTGGGTGGGTGGGTGTGTGGGGGGGTGCATATATAGACGTAAGGTGGGCAGCCAACACAGAAATGAACTGGTTTAAGAAGCGCGGTAGGTTTAATAGAGAGAGAAAGAGATAGAGAGAGATAGAAAAAAAGAAACAAGAGAAGAGAGATAACAACTCTCCTCCTTCTCCCTCCCTCCCCCCCCCCTCTACCACCCACACAGATGCAGGCTAAGATCTGGAAACCTGACACATACTTCAACAACGTTAAGGACGCCGAGATACACAAGGTGACGATGCCCAATATTCTCCTGCGACTACATAGCAACGGTGACGTCCTCTACAGCATGAGGTGGGTGTTCTCCTGACGACTTCTGACTTCTGCTGACGATCTCTGACTTCTCCTGACGATTTCTGACTTCTGCTGACGATCTCTGACTTCTCCTGACGACTTCTGACTTGTGCTGACGATCTCTGTCTTCTCCTGACGACTTCTGACTTGTGCTGACGATCTCTGACTTCTCATGACGACTTCTGACTTCTGCTGACGATCTCTGACTTCTCCTGACGACTTCTGACTTGTGCTGACGATCTCTGACTTCTCCTGACGACTTCTGACTTCTGCTGACGATCTCTGACTTCTCCTAACGACTTCTGACTTGTGCTGACGATTCCTGCCTATATCTGACCTCGGCTGACACCTCCAGACCACAGTTGACACTACTTACTTTCTGTACTGACTCTTCCTTCTTTCTGCTGACGCCTCCTGACCACCATTGCTGACTCGTGCTGACACTAACGGCTGACAACACAACACCTCCTCCTCCTCCTCCTCTCCATTAATTAAGGTAAGGTAAACATATTTTTAATCTCTTTTCACCCAACAATTTACATAAGTTTTTAAAGGTGGACAAAAAATTGCTTCCTGCTAAAAATTATTAAACACATTTTTTTTTACATTTATAATATAATATAAAATTACTTCCTGTTATTTATATTATGAAAAATTCGTTCAAAAATTAGAATAACTAAATATTGTGATTTTTTGAGAAGTAGAAAATTGCTTCGTGTTATTTTTTTATTTTTTTTTTCATTCATAATAAAAAATAATTGTGTGTGTGTGTAATAATTGACTCGATTTATCTCACTGTTGTTTTGTGTGTTGTTCAGGCGTTGTGTCGGCGTCTTCTTCCACCCACCTCCTCGTTAGTAGACACTACAGGTATACTTTCATTCTTCCTTCCTTCCTTCCTTCCTTCCTTCCTTCCTTCCTTCCTTCCTTCATTCCTTCCTTCCTTCCTTCCTTCCTTCCTTCCTTCCTTCCTTCTTTCCTTCCCCTCACGGATCAACTCTCCACACCGACCCTGATCTCCTCTCTACCTGACCCATTTATAAAGCGGAAAAATATCTAATATATAGTTGAAAATTGATCATAATGTATGTGTGTGTGTGTGTGTGTGTGTGTGTATTGAAGACTGAGGACCTCCACATAACTTCCCTAAATGTTGAACGCCCTCTCAGTGCCTTGTGGCCATTTTGATTAGCGTGCCACGTCTCTCACAGGTCATAAAGTGTACAAGATGAAGGTGTGTGGCTCAGTGCCGCCGGTGCCTGACGAGTGTTTTACTTGGCACAGTGAGGGGAAGTGCCCGCCTGGCTCCCGGCTGTCCACACGCAGACAAGTGTAAACAACCCCCCCCCCCCCTAAAACTCAAGCAATGATTCCTCACTTTCTTAAATATTGTTTATTGATTTTGCTGTTCAAGAGCTTTTGGTTTGACGTGATCTGGTGTCGGGTGGCGCCAGAAACAGTCATTAACTGAACTTGTGGATCAGTTACAGGTACAGCTGCGTTTTCTTCCATCAACGTAGACTTAATTCTTCTTATCCACATATTAAAAAAATATTATCCTAAGCTTGTGATATACTGAGTCCATAATTCCTTGGGTAAATATATTACTAATCTTTCTGAATTTTATATCTTTGTTTTTGTTATATATAGATAATACTTTATTTTATTTTATTTTAAAGAATAAATTTAATTATTGTATTTGTGGTGAATCAGTATTTAACGTCATAAAGTGTTGAGTGTACAGCTTTGGTATAAACTTAACGACCTCCACCCACCTCTACCTCCTACCTCACCACCACCACCTCCCTCACCACCACTACCTCCCTCACCACCACCACCTCCCTCACCACCACCACCTCCCTCACCACCACTACCTCCCTCAACCACCACCACCTCCCTCACCACCACCATCTCCTCACCACCACTACCTCCCTCACCACCACTACCTCCCTCACCACCACTACCTCCTCACCACCACTACCTCCCTCACCACCACTACCTCCCTCACCACCACTACCTCCTCACCACCACCACGCTCACCAAATCTAACCTAACCCTAACCAAAAGTTTTCGGACCTAAACGGCAGGGTCTGAAAGTCTACGGAATGGACTTGCCAGCATTCATTTACCCCCCTCTCTCTCTCTCTCTCTCTCAGTGGAATGTGTGTGTGTGTGTGTGTGTGTGTGTAAATGATGAATGTTAGAAAGCTCTTATTTTATCCGTGATTAAAACTGCTTAACGCTGCCCCCTTTCTCGCTTGTAATACGTCAGTGACCGCCGCCATTAATACCTCAGATACAGGTCGTATTAATGTGATTCATAATAAACGTGGTACTAATATCCTGTACAATTTGTTCCATTTATACTAAGAATTTTTTTTTCATAACCCGGTATTAACACCATTATGATCAGCTGTTAGTGTATATGTTTATTATTTGCCTTAATTATCTTTTGTTTTCCAACTTCTCAACAAACAACTATACTTGCTTGCTGATGCTTTCTTTTTACACTATGTATATGTATGTATGTATGTATGTATGTATGTATGTATGTATGTATGTATGTATGTATGTATATAAAACAGGTTTATACTATCTCTAATAATCAGTTATGTTTGTTTTCCAGTTCTTCCTAAATTATTGCATACAATACCTGTCCTGTTGGCGCCACACTGTTATGATGGTGTGGCCCAGCGTCTGACTACCCCAGCACCACATTCTGATGATGATGCCACTAACATGAAAGTTGTATTGGTGATGGGACTGCCTTGGCATGTGATGATTGTGGCCACATATTGAGAGTGTTAGAGCACCATATTTACTTTACGTAGACAGACATACATACAACGATAGTAATGAGGATGTAAATATATGCTACTACACCACATATTGTCATTTATGGCACCACAATAACATACCTTAGTTGCACACCTGTTGCTTGTGGGGAGGTGTTAGTTTACCTGTATTGCTCTGTTTACACCACATGTTTAAAACGATCTGGGGGGATGATGGTGACACAAAATGGTGATGATGGTGACAATACACGCCTTTCACACCCCACCCACACCCCACCCACACACCTATCACACCCCACCCACACACCTACCACACCCACCCACCTATCACACCCCACCCACACACTATCACCCCACCCACACCCACCCACACCTATCACACCCCACCCACACCTATCACACCCACCCACACCTATCACATCCACCCACACCCCTACACATCACCACACCTACCACACCCCACCCACACCTCTCACATCCCACCCACCTACCACACCCCACCCACACACCTATCACACCCCACCCACACACCTATCACACCCCACCACACTATCACACCCCACCCACACTCCCACCCCACACACCTACCATCACCCACACCTACCACCCCACCCACACACCTATCACATCACCCACACTATCACCCCACCCACACCTATCACCCACCCACACCCCACCTAACACATCCCACACACCTACCACCCCACCCACACCTATCACACCCCACCCACACCTATCACATCCCACCCGCACCCCTATCACACCCACCACCCCTACACACCCCACCCACACACACCCACCCACCTACCACCACCCACCCCCATACACCCACCCACACCTACCACACCCCACCCACACCTACCACCCACCCCACCCACACCTACCACATCACACACCTACACCCCACCACCCCTACCACCCCACCACCCCTATCACCCACCACACACCTACCACCCCACCCACACCTACCACACCCCACCCACACACCTACCACACACACACCTACCACACCCCACCCACACCTACCACACCCCACCCCACCCACACCTACACACCCACACCTACCACACCCCACCCACACACCTACCACGCCCCACCCACACACTCCTACCACACCTACCACACACCTATCACACCCCACACACACCTACCACACCTATCACACCCCACACACACCTATCACCCACCCACACCTACCACCCACCCCACACACCTACCACACCCCACCTACCACACCCCACCCACACCTACCACACCCACCCACACACCTACCACACCCACACACTCCTATCACACCTCACCCACACCCCTATCACACCCCACCCACACACCTACCACACCCCACCCCACCCACACCCCTACCACACCCCACCCACACACCTACACGCCTCACAGGAGATTAGGGTCAGCATATTCCCGCTAACTACTCACAGTTGTTTATATTGTCTAGATACCGCGGCGACTTACTTGACATGTTGTGAAAAATTTTGTTGTTCAAATCTGGGAACGTGAATAACATCTTCTTACTCATGTCAGTCAGTCAGGCAGGCTCAGGACGTGACTGTTTTCTCTCCTCTGTGTCAAGGTGTAACAGACTAACAGGTTCAGGGACCCCACACAGACGACAGCCGGGCCTGGTAACGCTGCTATACTCCTTGTTGCATTACCACTGTTTGACCCCTCTATTACTGTGACCCCTCTGTTACTGTGACCCCTCTGTTACTGTGACCCCTCTGTTACTGTGACCCCTCTGTTACTTAACCAGTTACTTGCAGTGCTACCAAGCTTTATATACGGCAGCGGCTG